ATGCACTCGACACGACTTTATTGATGGGGTGTCGGACTTCACCATCCTCCTTTAGCTTGTTAAATAAAATTTTTTTGACCACTTTCGGCAAGAACCCTGCCATCCGAACATTTTCCTACCTGCTTTCAAGAAGTAAACTTTACATTTTTGTTTCTCAAATAACCACTTTCGCTGGAAACAATAGAGCTAGAGGTACCCGGCAATTTTGAAACGCTCTTTGCGGCCATGTTTGTTTACAACTCGCTTGCGGATCTGATCGCGCGCGCCATCGCTTATTTCTCTCGCGAGTAATAAGCTTGCGTGTATCTTGGAATCCGTTCTCCCCGCCGTCAGAAAAACCCTTTCGAGCCTCCTTAAGGCAATCATTTAGTTCTTAATTAAGGATATCTGAGACATTTGACGGCTAACATTGGCTTGCTTATTTAACGGTTAACTGTAAAATATTGCGTATTTGACGGTTGACGGTTGATATTTTGGCCACTTGACGGTTGACGGTCAACCACATTGAGACCCTCCGGCCTGGGGTCCCCCACCTTCATGTAAACAGGCCCTAAATCAAATGAACTAGTTTGAAAACTAGTTCGATTTTTTTTCGCAGTGTGTGAGAAAATAAGCTTTGCTCCTGAGAAACGTGCAAAAAGGTTTAGTAAATATCATCATAAACATTTCCCGTTTTTGGCCACTGAAGGTTAATCAGTTTGAGACAAAAGCTCTTAGTTTGAATTGATTTTATGAGGTTCTCAGGTAGCAAATTTCAATTCGTTCAAAATGGCTCGTATCTTCCAATTTTTTCTTTTAAGCTGTGACACAGGGGGATCGTTATGAAATGAATCAGTGTCCTCGCGGATGGTGTATCATCGTGAACAATGTACACTTCACGAACCAGAAACTGAATCGACGAGGAGCCGAAGAAGATGAGAAAAACCTTAAAGAGCTCTTCGAGGCTCTTTCCTTTAAAGTTGATATCAGAAGGAATTTGAGCAATCACGGGTTGGAGAAAGTGGCTCAGGAATTTGGAGCTAAAAATCACAGCGTATACAACGCGTTCGTGTTTATCGTTATGTCGCATGGTGGAGATCGTGATTCTATTCTTGGCGTCGACGGAAGGGAGACAAACGTGAAGAATTTGATGGTCGAGTACCTTGAAGACAATTGTCCATCACTTAAGGATAAGCCCAAAGTATTCATCATCCAAGCATGTAGAGGATGTCGAAATGACTTTGGTAAGTTTTCATCGTCCTCATCTGCTGATGATTTTAATTCACAGTTGGTTGCAACGTCATCACAGGCACAAATAGGCTTCCAGCCATGCGATACTGGAGTCAGTCCTGACTCCACCCTCCCAAGGAGCGTGTTTCCAACGGAAGCCAACTTTGTTTTGGCCTTTTCAACTGCACCGGGTTATGTATCACATCGAAATCGGGAACATGGCGCTTGGTTTATACAGGTGAGAAATTGCAAAACCTGAAGGTGCATGCTATGCCCGGTTCATGTCTCTTTAGTTTGCTCTGGTCTTCTATTGTTAGGCACCAGCTCCAGTTCAAAGAGCTTAGAGAACTTGAAGTTATCGTAAATATAGCCTCGTCGGGTTGACCTTGATTGCTTCAATTGAAGAGACACTATAATACGCAAACGAGATGAAATGAAATTTTTTTTCTGCACTGATGAAACCAAGCTGACTCGATCTGAGATCATTTTAAATCTATGCAATCCACGAGTTTTCCAATTTTACTGCACCTCCTTAATCCCAAATACCTAGGCTGATACGTTCTTAAACAGTCACGTTATTTGCCAACCTAACTCCCGTGCATCTGAATGACCGTTGTGATGTATCCTCATATTTTTGTCGTAAATTATTACCAAAATAGGCTATGGTCAAAGTCATCAGAGAATATCATCATCGTCATCACCTCCTTGACATGCTGACGGAAGTCACTAGATTGGTAGTGGAGCGCCGTAAATCTGTCCAGGTTCCCGCTCCTATGGATACCTTGACCAAACTTCTGTATCTGTGAGAGAGGATTGAGCCGGGCGATTTACTGTTAGTCGAAGGGAATTGTTTATACTGTTATTATGTTAGAATTTAAGACTGAAAATTATTGAATAGTCCTATGTCCCGGAAAAGGGATTGCATAATAAGGAAGGAAGTCTCATCCTTTCTTCAATTGGATTGGGTCAAATAAAAAAAAAAAGTGGGTTGTGGGCCTTTAATTTTTCCTTTTGAACCCGTATATCAACTGGATTTAAGACATTACTGTAGTTGTCTTTCACATCTGTTTAGGGTTTGATTTTTTTTTATTTTAAGTGTCTAAATTTTGTATAAAGTTTACTCCGAAAATTTTCACTTATGTCCTTAACGGCTTAGACTCTTAATTTTGAGGTATTTTATCTTAAAGCACCATGGTACCCTCGCAAATGACAGAAATTCTTATCACCACCCGTAATTTTCTATTGTGAAGTTACCTTCTGGATGGGATTTTAAGCTATACAAAGAGACTCCCAAGAAAATTGACAGAGAATTTTCGAATTGCCATATAGGATATGTGTATTGAAAAAGGCTGTAATTTTCAGTCTTATTCCAGTATGTCTCTTGTCTCCGTAGATTTCATTTGTTTATGTGTGTTGACTGTGGTTTAGTGCAGTGTGTTTTGGTTTTAAATTAGTTGTAGGTCAATATCATATTGGAATAGTTCCTTTTGAGCCGTGACCTGTACATTTTGATTATTGTAGTTTATGTACTGTTAGTAGATTATCCGTTGCAATTATACAAAGCTTATGTATAATCGCCTAAAACAATTTATGAACAAACATGATATACTTTACAATTATCAATATGGATTTCGTGAAAGATGCTCAACGGAACATGCCATCTTAGACATTGTCAATAGAATTCAACTCAATATGGACAAGGGCATGTTTTCGTGTGGGGTCTTTATTGATCTGCAAAAGGCATTCGATACTGTCGATCATTATATCTTATTACGTAAGCTGGCTCATTGCGGAATTCGTGGCATAATCAATGATTGGTTCTGAACCACTCAGGTTGGTGCCTGTGTTTCTAAAAAAGAGAAAACCTCTTGTGGAGTGCCACAGGGTTCTGTTTTGGGTCCTTTATTGTTTCTGATTTATATTAATGATAATTACAAGTCTTCAAACAAACTAGTATTCTACCTATTCGCTGATGATACAAATCTGTTATATGCTGATAAGAATTTAAAATCACTTGAATCTGTTGTAAATGTGGAGCTACTTAATGTCTGTGCCGACTGGCTAAGCGCTAATAAACTCTCCTTAAATAAAAAGAAAACTAATTTTGTTATCTTTCATCCCTACCAAAAACGCTTGGATTATGAAGTTAAATTCAATATATATGACAACCAAAGTAATTGACTGATAAGCATAGAACGTAAAACATATGTTAAGTACTTAGGGGTACTAATGGATAATAATCTCTGTTGGAAATATATCAGCCACATCGCGTCAAAAATCAGTAGCCATATAGGTATAATATCTAGATTAAGGCATTTCACTCCCTTCGTGACTTTGCTTAATATATATAGATCTCTTATTCTTCCATATATCTCCTATGGACTTACTGCCTGGGGACAGGCAGCCAAAACACACCTAGACAAGATACTCCATCTTCAAAAACGGGTAGTCCGCTTGATGAATTTGTCTAAGTTTAATGTTCACGCTGTTTCACTTTTCATCTTTACCAATATTCTGCCTTTACCTTTAATCTACTTTAAAAATTGCCCTATCTTAGTGCATGATGTCTATAACAAAGTCGTGGCATCTAACATTTCTGCTCCCATGACAATAGATAGGCTTTACATTGAAAGAACATTAAAAAGTCCATGCAAACAGCCATTATAGTGACTAAAAGAGCTCAAAACTCAACTTTATTCAGTCACCATTTGGTGACCTAGAATCTTGAAATGGTTCCCAGAAAAAAAAAAATTCTAGCTGCCTGGAAAACTGGTAGTAAAATGGCAACTATCAATTTTAGTAATGCAACAACCACTAACAGTCTTTCCCTGCCAAAATGACAATCTTACTTACTTCTCTCTTACAGAAAAGAACATTTTGCACAACATTTCATAATCTTTAAAAGAGGGTCAAGATCTTTACAGCTAGCCAAATAACTTCTAATTGCACACCTCAAAATACTTGACAATAAGTCTTTTATGGGGAAAAAAATTAACCCAGTTAAACTGGTTTTCACTTACTTTTTCTAGAGTGATGACAACATTTTTCTGATCATGCAGCACCCACGAACACTCTTCAATCTTCACCTAATAAATTTAAAATGGTTATCACTGTTTACCAAATCCTTTGTTTATTTTGTATTTTTTTAAAAATTTCCTTGCCCATGAAGGATAAATTAAATTTTAGTTACCTTCTTTGGCAGGTCCCTAGCAATGATTGGAGGATGTCCTTTTCGGCCAACCTTTAAATGCTATGTACAGAGAAAGAAAGAAAAAAAAATGATAAAACCAAATTTTATACCTAATAGTTTACAGCAAGACAAAAGGGGGAAATTCAGGCAAATAACTAGGTAATTTGGCTAAAAAAAATTTACAATGACAAGCAGAAATATTTTAGCACTATCTACACGTTGTTCACCAGAATTTCCTCAAAGGAAAATTTGGGGTTAACATTTGAAGTGACGAGAAGCACTAAATGCCTGTCATCAGAATAACAAAGTTTCACCACAGGAAACATTTGATATATTTTTTTGGGTTCACTATTACCCTGAATTCAAACTACTACTTTCTTTTTTTTTTTACAACATTTTTATCACTGATTAATACAAAATGCCACAGGTAGAAAAGAGGGAAATCAAATTGAACCACAATACCATAAAATTATGCTCAATGTATATACTTTGGACAGCAGGCAGGGTTTTGTGTGATCATCGTTTTGTTGCAGTATGGTTCTACACAAAAAAAAATGGATGTTTTGATCATGTAACAATTACCATAAAAACACTTACAAACTGTTGTATATCCACAATTACATCTCTTCCTTTCACTTTAAAACTGACATTTAAAGGAATCCAGGCCTGAAATTCGAAAGAACTGTGACCTTTAGAAATTTACAATAATTGTGGTTATATGTCAGAGAACAGTGACATAAAATTATATGCCAGCATTGTCAGATCTTATCAGCTAATTTGATCACAACTTCTTCATGTAAATAGGAGGAAGCTCAATGATATAAGTATAAATACATCATCCAATGCTGATTTGGGACTGAACAATGTAAATTCATCACAGTGGACTGTTATACAAAATTTTATTGACACACAACCATCCAACCAGTTTATACATTAAGGTGACATATTTTAGTGCGGGTGACTGGCTGGTGACTAGCTTGTATACAGCAGCTACCCTTCCTTCTGAAAAAAGAAATTCAGGAAAGGTGGCTGTGCACAATCCAATGGCAACTTGAGCCGGAAAAAATTCATCAATGCAACAATCAGGAGATTGGTTTACTTATTATTGTGACCAGGCTAACAATTGTGCATGACATTGCAATATTTTTTGTTATAATGTTAGAATTACATCTTCAGAAACTATTTCCTATGATAACCAAATTATCACACACAGAGGATTTGCATCATAAATTTCCTTTAAGTCGCACCATCACACCTAACTATTTCCTATGATAACCAAATTATCATACACACAGGATTTGCATCATAAATTTCCTTAAGTTGCACCATCACACCTAACTTCCAAAATTTTAGAGAATTTCCTGCTATTGTTCGATTCCTTATAAAAGAAGTACAGTTAGTTTAACTCAGTAGTTCAGAGTGTCAAGACCAGCACTTACAAGCTCAGAACCACTTGGTCACAGAAAAAGTAACTAGTGGATGTAACCTCAAGTTAGTGACCTATTTTACTGAGGATTTGCTTGCAATCACCCTTTCTTTTTATCAGTATTATTTCTTTTG